AAATTAAATTTTAAAAAATATAAACTTTTCTAAAAAAATAAACTTTTCTAAAAAGTAATTAAATTAAAAAATATATATACTTTTCTGAAAAGTAATTAAACTTTTTCAAAAAAATTAAATTTTGAAAAATGTTGTATTGGAAAGAAGGAGATTGAATAGTGTTGTGTTGGGAATGAGAAAATTGAATATCAGAATGCACCCGAACGATGCGAAAGTAACAAAGGAAACCATGAATCCGACATGCCTCGATGCACAAAATCATGCAGACAGTTTTAGAACTATTAAGAGACATTTCCCCCCCCCCCCCAACAAGATTCACCTTTTAACGATTCAAAGTCTTCCTCTTAATTGAACTATTAAAATGTAAACATACAACCTCTAAAATGGAAAGAGAGCATCCGAGTTACAAGATCGAAATTCTACGAATTGAGGTAAAAATTCTCTTGGATTTTGTAAACGATGTTTTCCCCCAACGATTTGAGATGTGTATATGTGTTTATCAAGTTGTTGAGTTGATTGAATAACGGATTTAAATTGATAATTTGGTGGAGGTGATATTTTAGGGTTTAAACCAGTGATGTTTGAGTTAAATTTGAAGTATGAAATCATGTTGTTGTGTTTATCGAGCCTGTCTAGCATGCACGTATGAAAGTTATTATTTATGGTGTGCATAAATCCGTCGTATATAAGCAATGATTTCAAATCACCGTATTGGGAGAGGTGATTGCTTTTTTCTTAAACAATTCTTTCGATATGCTATTTTTTTTTCATTCATTCCCTTTCAGGATCAATCTTGGTCTTCCAACCCGAAATTCCCTCTGCTCCTACCGTACTTTCCACCTCCTGTCCAAAGTTGAGCCAAATATTGTGTGTGTGTACAATTTTTTTTTACCTTTTTATAAAAAAAGGCAAAAGAATAGACAAAAGGCTAAAATGACTATTGATTTAACAGAGTTAATGGAGACGTTAGTCAGAAAGACCATGACCAAAACAAATTAAATACCACAACTACCATATCCACAATAAACATACCGGTATAAGGAACCTCGTCAAAGAAAATATCAAATCATAGGAACCAAATCCATAATTCATTTTAAAAAATAAAAGAACCAATATGCCTTTAACTTAACTAGGATTAAGTTAACAAAGTTACGGCAAAAGACCCGTTCATAACAAAAATAAAATCATATGATGCTTATAATTATTTCGTTTAAAATACCGATCCAAATTTTTATACAACGACAGACACAAAATCTGAAATTTACTCTATTTAATGGTATCCAAAATCTTATATGCCGCCTGGAAATCATAATATCGAACGAATGCTACGAAATTGTCCCTTATCTTTACACTTATTACAATACTGACCCCTCAAGTGTTGGTTTGAACCCCAGAAAGCCAGACAGAATATATACACTTCTGTTCATTCATTCATTCAGCTTTCTGTTCCCTCATTCATAATCTAAAGTTGACGATTCCAATGGGTTACGAGAACGATCCGTAAGTTTTCCCCCTATTTTTCCAGAACCAAGGTTTATGTTTTTTCAGTTTTCTTAGGGTTAGGTTACATGGAATATCCTAATTGTGCTTTTTTGTTAATTATTCAGGTACCGCGATGAGGATGGAGAGCCCTTGATGGATTACGACGACGAGTTTCAATCGGATCATGATGATGCTAATAACGGTCAGCATCAGCACATTCTTGAGGACAATCTTGATGATGAATTAGAAGATAACGATTGGCAGAGCAGTAGGCAAGAGCGGTCCCCGACTCCGATATTCAATGAATCTGATTCGAAGTCTAAGCCTCGTAAACGGTTAATCAAGAAGAGCACGGCTGAAGAGAGCGTGCCGGATTTTGCCATTGATGATGACGTGGAGGATGAAGCGACGGCTTTTGTGAGGGATGATTCCGATAGCGGCGGTGGGAAGAGGAAAAGCATGTCCAGTGGTGGTGGGAGTAGTAAGAAGAAGGAGAAGAAGTCTAGTTATTCCAAGTTTTCAGATAAGGGTGGGAGAGATAGGGAGAAAAGTGCCTCGAAGTTTAAGGTGAATAGTAAAAGGGGTGGCCGTTCTGGTGGTGACGATGCAGAGGTTAAGGAGATGTGGGACACTATTGCTGGTGGCGATTCTGAGGTAAACTTCACTTTCATATTTTCAAGGTGTCTGGGACTTCTGGGTTGTTTGATTATCCTCGGCTCTGTAAATATTTGGTTTGGGAGTACAATTCCTTTGTTGTCAACACTCTGAAGAAAGTTGCTCCAAATAGGATACAAGATGCTAAGATGAAAGTTGCCACAGTTGATAAAATGTGAATTAGGGTTTTGCAAGGTTAAAGTTTTTATGCGCTGATTTTCACACTTTATAAATGCTATGCTAGTATCTAGGTGACAATTCGGGAGATTTATAGATTGATGGATATCACAATTTTGGAGTTGAACTGTGACAGTTTTTTCTTTACTAGCAAAGCTCAGTTGGTGCTCTCCCACTGTGATCTTATCTATGTATCTGTCATAGACTCATAGTCTATCAACTTTCTCCATAGTTGATAAATTATGAAGTCAAGGTCGGCTGTATGGGATTTCGTTTTAAAGAGGTTATGCTTTGCTTCGACTAATATTGAAACTGAAATTCATATGTGAAATCCCCATTTTCATTCCCTAATATTCCCATTCCCACTTCCATTCACTGAAACAAACCATGTGCCCCCATATAGAAGGGACCCATCTATGAAATCTGGAATTGAGTTGTAACAGTTTTCACCTTAATTTTATGCTGAAATGATGCTCATGCCTTGAAAGCTTTTGTTTATATGTGAAATTACCAACCATGTAGCTTCCGAGTGTATATTAGGTTCTGCATATTTCATATAGAAGGTAATGCTACCTTCTCTTTGTTTGTTTGATAAAGTTATGTGATCTGTGAAATGCATACGTGGTTGGACTTAATTGTGGAGATTATTTTGAACAATGGGAACATGGAACTATATTGTACCTTATCCTCAGGGGCCCACGGTGGAGGCATGTTGGTTGCATGTTCTTTTCCAACAGCTTCTCAAAAATGCGGAAAATGGGGATTTTGAGCCAATATATTGCTCCAACAGCTTCCCCAAAAGTATCTCCTAAATGGAGATAGTAGGAGAGAGAAGGGATTTTTCTCCAAATATGGAGATCACCCCAAAAATGGTTACCAAGTGAGAGCACCAATAGGAAACTTTGAAAATAAATATTTAGAGAGAGAAATAATATTTTAATAGATGAATGAAATATTTTAATATTATAATCAATGTTGGATTCTCCAAAATGGGGAATCTGTTGGAGATGAATGTAATTTTTATTTTGGAGATTTTGACTTTTGGTTCTCCATTTTGGAGAATCTGTTGGAGATGCTCTAAGATTGCTGTAAAAGATACTGTAAATTGTTATGATGATTTCCTTTTAAACTGTTGTAGGATGACAAAGAGGGTACAYGGATGGTGGATGATGATAATTTCATAGATGATACAGGTGTTGATCCAGATGATCGATATGGCAGTGACCATGGAGGTTATTCTCCAAGCCGTGCTCCTCAGGTAAGACAGTTGTGCATATACTTGAAGGCCTTCTTGTTGTAAATGTAAAGCTCACTCTTAGTTAATTGYTCTTTTTGAGTTCAATTTTAAGTATTTTGCAATGGTAAGTCATGGACATTGTTTTTTCTGTAAGTATTCGGCACCAATGGTTTGGAGGTTTGACGTGTATCTTTGTTTGCTTGTAGTTTTAAGATTGATATGGTTCTCCATCTTAATATTTTAACAATAGGMTGAAGAAGGTGAAGAAGATGATGAAATTAAGGATCTTTTCAAGACGGGTAAGAAGAGGAAAAAAAATGAGAAAAGTGCAGCTGAGATTGCCTTACTTGTTGAAAATGTTATGGCTGAGCTTGAAGTTGTGGCAGAGGAAGATGCAGAACTAAATAGACAATCAAAACCAGCTATAAATAAACTCAAAAAGTTGCCTCTTCTAACAGAAGTACTAGCCAAGTAGGTGGCATCATCTCACAGTAGTTGCATATCTGTGTACATTTTACTTTATTTACCTTCTTAATTTTCATGGCAGGAAACAGCTTCAATTAGAGTTCCTGGATCATGGTGCTCTAACTCTTTTGAAGAACTGGCTTGAACCCCTTCYAGATGGAAGCTTGCCTAATATAAACATCCGAGCAGCAATATTGAAGATCCTTACTGAGGTATAAAAAATTGTGTAAGGGATGTGTGCCTGCAGTTATGTTGTTTGTACTAGAATTTAATTTGTTTCCTTCAATTCTGCAGTTTCCAATTGATTTGGAGCAATTTGATAGAAGAGAGCAATTAAAGAAGAGTGGACTTGGAAAGGTTAGGCCTGTGCTAACATAATGTTATTATTTCACCTTTCTCTTTGGGAATGTAACCAATTTTACCAAGTTATACTTCTCTTTTCACAGGTCATCATGTTCTTGTCGAAGTCTGATGAAGAGACCACAAACAACAGAAAGCTTGCTAAAGACTTGGTTGATAAATGGGTAATATGAAATTTCTCTTTGTTGCCTGCTGCTCTGTGTTTCTGTTTATACGGTTATACACATACATACAAATTTATTTGTGTATATATGTATGCAAGGCTGTTTTATTTTGTTGAGAGAGATTTGGTTCTCTGGGTTTTTTGTCAAACTTTTTCTTCTGTGTAGTTCTTTATCTGTATGTGAAGAACTGCWAATCTTGATAAGCATTTCACTCTTTCTTTTAATGCAGAGTCGTCCAATATTTAATAAAAGCACACGGTTTGAGGACATGCGAAACTTCGAGGATGAGAGGACTCAATTTAGGCGGCCTTCAATGAAAAAGTATATTACGTATCCACATTTAAGTATTTAACTACGTAGCATATGTTAYTGGCCATGTGAGTTCCTGCATAATACGACTGATCTTGTCTCTATTCTGATCTGTTGCTATTTCCTATCAGGCCTATGAATAAAGCTTCAGGGATGCAGTCTAGAGATGATGATCTTGATTTGGCYGAATATTCTCAGTAAGTATTTTTCATGGACAAATTATAGGTGCTTTCTGGGCGGGCATCAGTTTGCTACTTCATGTGTTATGCTGTCATTTTCTTTCCTATCTAATATCCGAGGTCAATGCAGAGAACCGAAGTCTGGAAACTCATCTTCTAGGCTAACCTCAAGGCCTGAAGCCATGCCATTGGATTTTGTTGTGCGCCCTCAATCTAAGATTGATCCGGATGAAATCAGAGCCCGAGCTAAACAAATTGTGCAAGATCAGCGCCGTCTAAAGGTCTGTTTCTTGGCTTAAATTTATCTATTCATCCAACTTTACCCTMAAAAATCCCATATATACATTTGTAATAAAAACCAAACATAAATCTCACACAGAGGTAGGGTGTGGGTGTATTTGTGGTAACCACAATACCATGTTATGTATTTTTGTGYATATATAATTGTAGATGGGAAATTTAATCATGCATATTTGCATGTAGATGAACAAGAAGTTGCAACAGTTAAAGGCACCGAAAAAGAAGCAGCTTCAAGCTACAAAGCTTAGTGTGGAGGGTCGTGGTATGGTGAAATACTTGTAAAGCAGAAGGCKGGAGTGGACTTTAATCACAATCGGGTATTAGCAGCATCGAATTGCTTCAGATATTGACGAATTAAATAAATTTTGTCCATGGATAATTAAAGAATATATATATATATAAAATGTCAGCTTGGTGTTTGAGAAGGTAGTTTGCATGCTTTTTAGCCTGAAACATGGAATGGAAGAAAGCTCCTGCTGTGTATATATGTGGTTTCACTTGCTTCTTTTTGTACGGTTCTGTCCCCAATTGAATTCCAAACACATGTTTATATTTATAGGGCTACTTTTGTTACATAATAAGGTTGCAAGGTTCATTTCTGAAATTCTTGGTTTTTATTAGGAGTCGATTGTCTCGTATAACGGCTATGAATTATATATATATATATATATATATATATATATATAAGTTTTGATTGTTATCTAATACAAAGTATTAATCATAATTAATGAACTTTAATCATTTTCCATAAATATTCAAATCATAATAAATTAACTCTCATCATTTCCATAAATATCTAAATTGATTGGGTTGCATATGTTATACAAATGGAAATAGTTGTATTTGAAATATACCCTATATATATATATATATAGAGAGAGAGAGAGAGAGAGAGAGAGAGGGAGAAAGAGACTTGGAATCACGCGAGACCAGCTTTTTACATTTCAACACACAGATGTTGTTCACACGAGCATAAGGCCGACATGTGAACATGAGTTGTGAATATGTTCATAACCGATCGTAGGTTACAAATCGGATAGAGAATATCGGGTTCACGATGCGTGAGGATTTATTACAAAATACCCTGTGAACAATTGTTCATAAGCAGCCCAATTAATTTAATGATTAATTGATTATTTTTTAATACTCATTTAATAAAGTTTGAGGTTATTGGGTTGTTCTGGCGTTCTTGTAAATCATAGGGGTTCTCGTTTGAACCTCCACCTATATATATATATATATATATATATAATTAATTAATTAATGGTGTTTTCGAAAAGCATTATTTAATAATCAAAACGAAAATGAAAGGGTCAAAAAGAGGAGTTAAATTTTGAAAGCGAATTTAACGTAGTAACAATGTTGTATTTGGTATTTAGTTACAAATTAATCATCATACTCGTAGAATTTCTAGGAAGGAGACAAATACCGACTTAGGATTAGGCATTCTGATCACATGATGTCATATAAGAGTTTGTGGAAATGCATAACTAAGGTTTGGAATCAGTGTTAGACATTTTTGATTACATGACATCAGATAAGAGTTTTCGATGCAAAACTAGGATGTAGATTTGTAGGTAAGAGTTTTTGGATGCAAAACTACGGTAACAGGCTAGGGGCGGAGGTTTGTAGGTAGGTGGCTGGTGTAGATAGTAGACGGGACAAAGGGAACGTTCAGATTAGAGGTGTGCCACTTTCTTTTCCTTCGTTATGGCTTATTTGTAATTTCTTATGTTTTTCATGTTGTTGTTTACTCATAACTAACTTTTATAAAGATGTCGTATCTGTCATTCATATCTAAGTTCTTCTCTTTTCATAGGTTCTTCAGATATTGGTCCACAATCCGCTTTCAAAGATGCAATTTTCGTCACCATTTTCTGATTTAAACTTGTACAAACTATGCCACTCTCTTAATTCCAAATCATTTAGAAATCCAATGTAATAGTTCATAACTTCATGAGATTTCATAAAAAGCTAATAATAATGTTATAAAATATTCAATTAATAAAACATAATTTTATTGTAATTATTTATTTATAATTCATTTTCATAAATTATCTTTAAAGAATAAAATTCCAAATTCCTCAAAACCCTTTTTAACTTGCAAATAATAGAATTCCAAACAAATTTATATCAACTCATCTGATTTAAACTTAACCGCTTCATATTTTAAAATCAATTAAAGTGGATAAATGTTAACTGGATATTATAAGTACAAAGAATAGTGGATGACCATTCCAAGTCAAAGTTCAAATCAGAGCTATGTCGAGCAGAGACATATCACTTGTACTAGGCAAAACGACACATTTTCATATTTATATGATGTACAATGAAAAACGTCTCTTTTTCTCCTCTTCAACAAACACTACTACAAACTCTCAAGTAGGAATCATGATCAAGTTGTTTGTAGGATTAATCAATCAGCCCTCTTCCCAATCGATGCCATCATCATCTTCATCATCTCCAGAAGGCTCTGCTGCTTCCACATTCAAGTCCACCTTGAAGGTCTCCCCTGCAACAAAAGAATCGATCTTTACCACCCAAAACAGATTAAAAAGATCAAATAGGACACTCTTGAGGGACTGTTTGTTAGCAGCTTAATGAGCTTTATGAGACTCACAGCTTATTCGGTCAGCTATATAAGACTGTTTGGTAGTGGCTTATTCAGCAAACTTCTAAGCGGAGCTCAGAAAGCCAAGTTTTTTCCACATGCCCCTCCCAATTAAAAAACACGCTCCTTCTATCTATGAAAAAAACCATCCTAAACAAAAACCTTCTCAATCTATACAAACAGATTAATCCACACAGACAGCTTTATCCATACAAGACTTCAATGAAAAACCAAACCAAACATCCCCTTAGTATGTCCAAGGGGTTGTTTACTTACAACTTAACGAGCTTAATGGTCTGGCCGGCTTATTCGCTCAGCCATACAGGAGTGTTTCTTTACGGCTTAATAGTTATTTCATTAAGCCAAAATGGCTATATGGAATAAGCCAGTACCTCTCACTTGTTCCCATTAAGCCACCTCAAAACAAATTAATACCAAAAATTCCCCAGAAATAATCCAACCCTCTCCATTTGCGTCCCTCAAACCCGTCGATCTCCCATCCCTCGGACAACAAATTTATCCAGACAGACAACCCTAATACGGTGCTTAATGGAGAAAAAAAAGTGTTAGCAACCCCGTACACAGACTTGTCTACCCCATTTAAGAGAGTAGAGCAGTTTGCGAAATATCAATATATACCTGCAGTTGGAGTCTCTTCCCATTCAACATCGCCTTCTCCATCATCATCACGTTGGCGTTTTCTTGAATTCGAGGGATCGACATCAGTGGAGACGCTATTCATCGACAAATCTTGCTCCCTCTTGGTGGCTTCTTCTTGTTCTTTTTGCCTCTGAAGTAAAGCAGCATAATATGCTTTGAAATACTCATCCTGCCAATATCATCATCAATCAGCATTTCAAACAAGATAAAATTATATATGTAGTAAAGAACAAAGAAGCAATTTGATTGTTAAAACTAGCCTGGAGATTCTTCGCATCATCCTCTTGGCTACTCAACTTCTTCTCATCTTTCATATCGATAGATGCTGAAGTTCCCTCCATGTTTGATTCTTGCTTTACACCCCCCCGCTGCTCGTTTGTAAGGTTCATCCCTTCCTTGATCATCCATGGAGGCAAAACTTTCATAGGGGCACTTTCGGATTTTATCTCCCCTTTTTCTTCCACACCAGAGAAGGCCACTTCAACCTGTAAAGATAGTGTATATAATTTGGATTATTCATTAAGGTCTAAATATTGGAATTGTTTGCTACGACCACGTGAAACAATCTGCTTAAGAATAGGCCCTATCATAATAACAAAAATATTGTTTCTAATGCACGTCTTCTACCGAAAGCATCAAATCGACTAAGAGTATGTAGCAAGCGAATTGGGCATGCTAAGATTATAAATAAAGGCCAGAAAAACCATAGAGACAGAGCTACAAATAAAAATATAAACATATTTCTATCGTAAAAAGACGGGAATGAAAAAGAATAAATAAACAACAAATTGGCATACACTTAAGTTTGAAAAAGAACAAGGCAGACAAATGTTGATTCATGAAATGTTGGAATAGCAATGATTGAAAAACTAGACCGTGTTAAACCTAAAATCCCATATTCAAAACACCAACTTAAGTTTGATGACCGAGAACGCTCAATTGATGACCCAAAGAGTGGTTCAATGCTTCACTCGGTGACTCAGAAAGTCTAATGTTTCCTATAATGTTCTCCTACCGCTTATTTTTGCTATGCATTTTTTTGGCTAAATTTGTTTCATTTGTGATTGGTTTAACACCTTGCTTAGTATCAACAAATGTTGTATCTCTTGACATTTTCTAGAATTGGCACATTTAAAAAAAATTCAAGTTACTAACCAAGGAGCGTTTGATTCGTTTCAAGGAATGAAAATGAGAATAAATTAGTATGGGAATCATTATTATTATTCCATTATATTATATTATTGGGGATTCCTTATTATTAATGTAAAAAGGAAAAAGAACAAGATAGCCCCACTCCATCGTAGATCTTCATCTTCCACATGGATCTCTCCTGCAAAACACAGGAAGCATCTTCAAGAAAACAAAACACCCTTTCCATCTTCATCCTCATCCTTCTCTTCTTGATTTCATCTTTATTTTTTCATTTCATCTCCCAACACAAAATCAAAATTATCTCCATCTTCTATTTCATTTCCCAAAACAAAATCGAAATCATCACCCTTTTCTATTTCATCTCTCGACCAAAAACCAAAATCATCTCCCTCTTCTATTTCATCTCCAAACACAAAAACAAAATCATCCCTATTTCATATTTCATTTGCGAACACAAAATTGAGACACAAAATCAGATCTGAGAAAGACGAAATTTAATTTGTAAGGGTTTACTCAGATGAAATCAGATCTGTCGACAAGGGTTCACAAGAGATGAAAACGAAGAACGATTTTGTGTGGGTTTACTCGGATGAAAATGAAGAACGATCTTGTGTGGGTTTACTTTGATGAAAATGAAGAACTATTTGTTTTACTAGTAATGAAAGTGATGGCTGCCATGAAAATGAAAATGAAGAAAGAGTATGATTTAGGAAAAGTTCCTAATTCCCCCAAATTAGGGAGGAATGATTTTTATTCAAATCTATTTATAATGATTGATTAACTTATTGAAACCAAACACTATTTTTCATTCCTTTTCTGAACCAAACATAATCAATGATTATCATTTCCATTTATTACCTTTTAATACCTCCAACCAACACCCCCTAACTATTATGTTTTTCTTATTATATAAAACATTTATCCGTGCTTATATCCTAGATACTTTTTTGCACTCTCTTCCTACTTATTTTCCCCACTGTCTCAGGCCATTTGGTCTCTCTCTAATTTCTTTGAAACTTCCATTTTCTTGAAGAACTCTCTCAAAAGACTTCCCAAAACTTTTCCGCAAGCCGAAGTTCTTCAAGGAAACAGCCCCTTACTCCTTGGGGTAGAGGAACAGTTTACATAAACCCTACCACGAACCCCTACTTACAAGTGGGATATATTGGGTTGGTTTGGTTTTATGATGTAGCTTCTAAATACTGAAAACACAAGACGTAAAATTCTACACGGAAAACAAATAAAATAAGCATATTTCACACACACATATATATACATGTGCGTATGTGTGTGTGTGAATGTGTGAATGTGTGTGTGTAAATGAAAAGGCAGGCACCTTTGTCTCTCCAAGAAATGGCATAGGTGTTCCTCCCTGTCCAGGTCTAGAAGAATCATTGGCACCAGGATCAGCATTAGATGCACGCGCAGCAGCACTTGCTCGAAGCTCCCATGCTTGAAGAGTTCCATAATCAGGGGCATCCAAGTCCTTTACTCTGCTAAGCTGATCCATCAAAGGCTTGAGTTCTACCTGCACTTCTCAACGCCAAATCATTGCATAACGCCTCAACTTCGATGATAGAAACTAGAAACAATAATGCTTCTAAGTTTTGACAAAAATAATACTCTAGAAAGATGCAATTTGAGAAATTAATCAATAATCAATGCTGTCAATCCTCAATTAGTACAGGAAGATGCTAGAAAAAAGTGTAATATTGAACCGTTACTGAAGATCCAACAAAACTCGAGCGCCAAAGAGAAGTATCTAATTCTCACTTAAACGAACTGAAAGTCCGAGAAAATAACTATGAGGGAAGCCTCATAGAAGTAACAAGAATTCAGGACTAGACGGCAAGTCTATATATATGCTCAGATCCAAAGTAGCAAACAAGAATTCAGCATGTAGCCAAGTATAAAAGTTATATAGATATCATTGATTCAAACGAGCATTATGGCTTTAGATTCTATTGTATTAGCATGATTAGTTTGCAGAATAAAAACAATAAAATATTCAAGCCAATACAAATGTCTAATAGGATGTTCTGAAAAGGACTATCATGAGCACCAAAATAGGCCGTACCTCCATCTTTTGAAGCATATCCCTCAATTTCTCACGGCGTCGTCTTCTTGCATTATCATCGCCATCTCCGATATCTTGAGAAGCTAGCTTGTCACTCTCTGCCACTAATTCTGTATTGCAACTTTCACAATGAAAAGAGTCATCTTCAAAAGAGATCAGTCGAATAGCATCCAATGCATTATATCTGAAAGGAATAAGAAAATTACTCAGTCTCAATTGGTCAATCATAAATCCTTTTAGATTAGAAATTAAGCAACAAAGACTAAACCTTTTTCCACACTTTGGGCACACATATTCCTGGACTGTGTTCTTATTGTCTAATTCATCTTTCAACTTCTTCTTCATCCGGTGCAGTCTATACCTTACCACATCATGTATCTGTAACAGATTGATAGCTTTTATACTGTCTCAGATAAACCACAGACGATCTAATACTTAATATCCTACGTAAAAAGAAAACATGTTAAGGAAATTCAATTGATTTCAAGTTGAATACATGCCTCTGTGAACAACCATATAGCTCGTATCCAAATCTTAATCCTTTTAGCACATTCTACTCGCTTGACATGTAGTTTAGATCATATATATGTTACTTATCCTAAGTAGTTAATGCGGTCCATTGCGGAAATAGCGGTCGGGACCTTCATTTGGAATAGCGGTTATCGGGGTGATATAACGATGATATAGCAGTAGAAAGATTATGTTCATAAAGTAAATACGAATATATATATATATATATATATATAAAACTTGAAATAGTAAATGTCTAATACATATCAAGTCAAACAATTTAAACCACACAAGCAACATAGTAATAGGAGATGTGCTGTCGCCTGATGAGATGAGAAGGAAACTCGAAAAGAAAACTCCAGTAGAAAACCGGTGGAACCGCGGAATCGGGAAGAAAATTGAGCTGTTGAAGCTTTTTGGACTTGGAATCGATGAGCAAAACTTTGGACTTGGAATCAATACCAAAGTTTGACCTAATTATTTCTATTGTTGATTTAATCGGTTTCCTTTTGTTTACAGGCCTAAGTTTGACTCTAAATAAGTCCCACATAAATGACACAACAAAAGCCCAAATAGAATTTGAATTAAAGAAAGGAGTCCAAAAGAGCCGACAAAGAAAAATAGGTAATAGCAACCACTATTTGGTATCAAAATCGCGATCAATAGCGGTAATAGCGGCCGCTATTTGCAGTACTTCTATTTATGCACCACTATTTTGGCCAGGACCGCTCTGCATAGCACTTATCATAGTCCATCTAATCTTGCTCCCTATTAAATTTTCATGAACGCCACTAATCTGGAGTAGAGGTGGTCCTGACAGTCCCAGCATTAGATGGGCCCAGTCCTAGGCTACTCTTAACTGGTCCCTGAGGTTCTGTTCTTTTGACCATCCTAACTGTCCCTCCTTAAAAGGGGGAAATAAAGTAGAAAAGAACATTCTAAGATACAAAATTGGACATGTAAAATCATCTTATCATCTTAAAACTACACAAGAAAGTAGCTTCACTTTGGACAAGCAATGATTTTTCTGTGGACTTCCAGAAATCTCTTTCATTGGCAAGGATATTTCGAGTTATATGGCGATGCAATGTAAATCAACAATAGGCCTATCTAAAAGACAGAAAGGATCTAATCTGAAACTGGTCTCGTGCTAGATTTCAGCGCAATGGAGAGAGGGGTGACATGAAGGCTTTCATCAAAGGCAGATCAAGTTCTGCACTCAAGTTAAACCAACAATTCTGTGATCCACATCGAGATCCTTGAAACATCAGACATAGGACATAGCTCATAACCTCAAATTTGCAAATGATTTAGCAAGGCAACACAAACCACAGTTCACCCACTCCCAAACTTGTGCACACAAAAAGTGGAAATAATCTCATTAGTTGTTGAGCTTAGACATCGTGACCCACAAAGTGCAAAATCCAATCTTGTAGACAGTATTACAATCTGTAGACAGGTGATAATTTTGTTTCAGAAAGTGTACAGAGTATAAGCATTCCCACAGCTTGATATCAACAATAGCCCTTGTATAATTTTTTTATTCCCTTTCACGATCATGTCATGTCGAGGTATTGCAGAAGAAAAAACTGCAAAAACAGTCCTATTTATCTAATATGTATCATAACTAAGAAGAAATGGACAAGGAAGATGAATTGCAGACATATTGCCAAAGATTAGAGGATTATTGTCTGTGACACCATGTAGGAAGACTTGTACATGTAAGCAGAGAGTTGGGGTACTATGAGATCCCTTAGGCATCACATTTACAAGAAATTAAGTTTTTCATCAAGATACTCCTCGTGTAGAACAATTAGATTACAAGCTTATAGCTAATTAGGATTGTGAAAAGGAAAATCAGCATTGAACAGAAGAGAAGTTACCATTGTGAAATATGAAAGGTTGAGGGCAATCTAAAAGACACCAATGCCTCACTTGTTTGCTAGGACTTTATTCTTGTATTAAAAAGGTAGAAATAATGTGTAGGATTAATTCTATTTTCTTGCATCATAAGGCTTACGCTCAAGGAAGAGGCAGCATTTCATTGGATAGACTTAGTAACCAAAATTGTCTAAAATATGTGGGATAGAAAACATTCATAGAGAATTCTTGTTGAGGTCAGAATTAAAATTAATTCTTAGAAAAGACAATCAGAGTCGCCAGTAGAAGAGAAACCTGTGCATAGTCAAGACAACAATAAGAGTGTGTGTGCAGCTTAATCTTCTCTTCTCCATCTCTTCCAGTTAGATTATCAGCAGTAGCAGCAACTGCAGCGCTGTAGGCTTTTGCACCCTTGGCGGTCTGTAATAAACATAAATACATGAGTCAGATATAATAGAACTTTAATCCAGAATCATCCCAGCTAGTTGTGGATGTCTATAAAGTGCCCCATATATAGAACACGTACATCAAGATGCACAATTTACTTAATGGCCATACCATCCCAGTGAACACCAGGTGCCATCAATCCGTACACATGTGCTCAAACATAAAACTACATTCATGGAGATGATATGTTGAGATCATGAGTTTGAAATAACCAATATGACCACTAACTCTGTATAGCTCATGACACAGTCTATACCAGTAACATATGCTTGTGACATACATAAGGCAAAGCTGCGCGTAGATGAAGTTGTTTGCAAGAGAAGGGTAGAAATTAAACTATACAATAAAAACAACATTCATTCTGCTTCCAGGAAACTAAAACAAGCTTCTCTCTCGCATCTATCTTTGCTCCCTCCCATCTCTCTCTCTATGTGTGTGTGTGTGCACGCATTATGTATGAAGACGCTTCCATATAGACACACACACACACACAAATGTGTATGCGCGGAAGTGTGTGCGTGCTGGACTGCTGGTAATCTACACCTTCTCCAAACCATAAGCAAGATCAAGCTAGAGGTAAGTGTTTGAGGTTGAAGACCAAGCTCAATATCCAGCATATACACAGCTAGAAATTTATTTACAGTCCAGATACTTACATTCTTAATCTATTAAATCCACATGACCCTGAAATTTGCCATATTTTCCTGGAATGCTCAAAGGTAATCTCTCACAAACTGCTATGTTTATCTAATTGCCATGTGTACATACATACACTGATACACACATACATAAAGTCGGTATTTCATAACTGAAATGGATATAACTCTTCTTACCACGATGTCCAATAATGTCCAACTTGTTTTTACTATCTTTTTGGGTGACGAGAGATACTCATCAAGGGTTCATAAGCACACATCAATCAAATATATGGGCTCCATATATTCAGACCAACTATTCTAGCACCCAAATGCTCCCCTCAGTCATTTGCTTCATGGACGTATTTCAAGGAGTGTGCCTGATATAAAAACACTCACGATCTAGCATGTGTCCAGAAAATCTTGGCCATTAAACACGGGTTAAAATGTGACCCGAGCCACCTGAACTAAGGTTTGAGCACGCTGACTATCACAAATTGAATCACCCCTAGCTCAGCTTGAAAAGCTCATGAGTCTGCTTAGATTTGTTGTCGCCCACTTAATTCATTTAGGTTTGAATAGGGCTTTCCTTTGATTCAAAAAAACACCAATACACATGTAAATTATTGTACATATATGATGCCTACCTACTAATGTTGTACTACAATTTTATATATTCCAAATACGTATATAATTTTGATTTCATATTGATATCAATACATACATATAACATATTATATGAATATCTATACATATTGTACCAATCTATGTGATGACGTATTTAACTAGGACTCAAAGTTCAAAACTTTGAAGTTTATTTTATTAACAAGGCTCGTGTTGGCTCAAAGTTCAGCTGGTTTAGGTTTGAATTCTTGCTTTTCCAAACAAGCTTGTGAACAGCTTGAACTTGAACAGCGAAAGCTTTGCTTGGATGAAATATAAAGTTATAGTCCTTTATCAATCAGATATGTTGCATGAGAACCACATATGAACAGAAAGATATTGGAGATGGAAAATAACCAAGTCTACGTCATTTGCTACAAATATAAAAGAATTATGTATCACCAAATAATTCAATCCATCAAAGGAATTATCATATATGAAACTAACCTCTTTCCTATGATCCCTGGTTACCAGCTTTTCTTCTTCAAAAAACCGCAAAGTCCGTCGAAGTTGTTTTAAGTGCAACTTCAAATCTTTTGCTAAATCTTCTTCACGCACCCATTGGCGTCTACAGAAACAGAAGAAAAATGCACAATGATTATGGCAAGAGAAACAAAAGAAAAGAAGTTGACATAAAAGCAGAGAAATCCCTCATACAAGCTAAAGAAACAATTGGATAACAATAGGAAATGAGGAAACAGTCCAGGAAGTGCAATGAGAAATTCTCACTCTACACCTCTAAACTATCCTTTCATGCAGATTACCGACATGATTGCATGCTAAGGTTATAAAATGAAGGAACACATTTAAATCTTCTTTCCCGACTGTTCCAAATCATTTATGTGATCATTAGATTAATATTGCCTAGTTCATGGTGCAGGTGCACAGCACATGTAGTAATTACTTACCAGTATGTCGTGATGTCGGTCATGGGGCTTAACCTCATCTCCTCCTAATCTAATTTGGTTCCAGTATGTTAATCAAATATGTGGTATATTGACTATACTCGAGTGTTGTACATTAAATAAATACATGACATACCCTATTTGTGTGTGATTACATATGTTCAGCATATCTTGTGCAAATTGCAATCTCAAATATCTTGGTAGTATATAAAATAAGATGATTAGACAAAACTTAGAAAACCCTTGCTTTGTTATGCTCCCCATATAATAGGGTTTAGGGATTACTGGGCCACATTTAAACTAAAATAGACATAAAAAAGGCTATGTCTTAAAGAAGGAATTAAATAAGGTTAAAGAATTTTATTAAGTTACTGGCATCTTTCTAATTAATCAAGTCAAAAACATTATTTCAGGCTTCTGTTATGTTCACGTGAATTCCAAAATAAAGACCCAAACAATAAGACTAGACACCCTTTCACCAAGAGTCATTTTTGTTACGACTCTCAGTTTCCCGCTCTTGGCCTCTACGTCTTTATATCCATTTTGCAGTGTTAAAACCAACAAACTTGAACAAGATAGGAGCAAACAGAGTTGGAATGCAGCTGCTGTACTGATATTTATCACGATATAAAACCCTGGTTTCTAACCTGATTGGCTGATGCAACAATTGTTTGTTCTTTTTGCCTCTACCAGAGTTTCATGTGATTTGTTTATGTAAAGAAATGGTCACTACTATTAGGGATTGGGCGTATGAACACACCACAACCTGGATCTTTCAATTTTGATCAAAGGAACGCTGGCAATACTGATTCAGATACATGGCAATCTCCTAACTTTGCATATCCTATCTTGCATACTAGTTTGAAAGGTTAAGTTGCTCTAAATATTTAAGATAAACTGCAGGTCTATTATTTTTGTAAATACCAAGTTTTCACATGAAAGAATGGATCTCATTAATTGACTGTTTAAGTGGAACAATTTCAAGAATAACATAAAACCTCATAGCATTATTCTATTAATAATTTCCCTGCCATGTAAAAAAGGCGTATTTATATCATCTCATTTCAATAGTTCGACAAGGAGATGGATTGATCCCCGGGTGCCTATTAGTTGAGAAGGGCTAAAAAACCACTCATGGCCTCATGGGAGTTCAAAACCATGTCGTGGGAAATATATGATTACTATATTTATTAGAAAGCCATTCTAAATGAAGTAAAATAAGTGAAGTTTTTATTTATTTGTTTTAGCCCTTTTACCATATAGCTAAGACGCAGAGACATTGACATAAACCCTCAAAGTTTTATCATTTGTGGTTTTTGCAAAACAAAATAGTGACCATATTTTCATCTTTCACCTAGGTTTTGAACCCAGACCAGGCACTTGCTACATTTTTTCGCTATCATAAAATAGGCGTAATAATGAAACATGAGATTAGTCAACTCATTCCCCAACAGAATGGATAACATTGACCATATAAGTGTATCTGACCAAGAGATCTCACTTTCTCACTTCCTTACCTATCTCTCGTCTTTCTATCATAAAAAAGCAACACCCCATCAATTCAGTACCATGTTTACAAGACAGCAACAAAACAATTCTATGTTTTATACCTGAAGTCATTCTTACCAAAAGAATGACACGAGGTCAGTATCTCATTTCAACTACCACAACAATTTATGCCAACACCTTGACAACTGTGAAAATACAACCTCTAAATCCTACCCTAAAAAAATTCAAAATCATGTGGTATTTGAGTGTTTGGTGGGGACTTTGGACAACTACCATGATAGTCTTCTTTCCACCATTTAAGGCCATAACTCTCGACAAATACACAGTGTTTGTGTTTAAGTTTGTTTTTGTTGTTCTGTTTTGTTCACTTCCCTTTGGTTTGTTCTGTCTACACCTTCTAAATTAGTGATGTCCCATTGCCACACTAACACAAAAGTCCCTTTTCATCTCTGCTAAACGAACCTGCCTTGGTCAATCTGTTATGTAATCCTCCGCAACCTAAATCAGCCTCCAAAAGTTATGCCTCTGACAGTCTCCACGACCTTCTTTGAACTCTCATCTACAAACCTCAAGTGATGCTTTAGCGCTCGACAAACCCGACTGCCTGTGTTTGATGTTGAAGCTTCTAAAGTTCTAACGGGATTTCAGCATTGTAAAGCCTTCAATGACATCACTTTGTAACCTAATAAACCGCACAACCAACACAATCATTCAAGAGACTCTCTGTGACCTCTTTCCAAAACATCTAGGTTGCAAATCCAGCCAGTTTAGGAGGCAGTTAGACCTCATTTGTCACAATTAAATGATTTGTTTTAAGGCTTAAAACAAAATTACACAACACCTTGAATCCTCAATGTGTTCTTATACTCACTTTACAAGCTTGTGTTTCTTCTTTCATACAATCACCTATGTATCTGATATCTTTCCGGTTTTTAATATAAAAGTGTGGCAACATATAAAGTGTGAATGGAGTACTTAACATGTCACATGTCCCAACGATTCATGTCTATCAGATTAGAGGTGCCTCCCAAGACACATCAAGACCTAACCTAATTTACATGTGGCTGACATAGCATGAGTTCAGAAGCACATCCAGATTTGAGCTCCAGTCAAAGTATGTTGATCCTACCAGCTAATTAAACCATTTGTTACTCCTCTAGCCACATCTAGGCCATTACTTCCAATTGAATTTCGAGAATTGATTTAAGAACAAAATTCCTAACTCCTAAGAAGTTCTATATAAAGTGACCTTCTAGATCAGTCTGCAGTTCTATAACAAGATCTATTTTAGAATACGATCATTGATAAAAGACATCCAAACAACATGAGAGACAGATATACCATATCGACTATGGCAACCTCCTATCTATTTCCTTTTATTTTGTTTGCTTTAATCCATAAATCTATTTGTCGTTTTGACAGTGTTCTGTGTCGAAAATATTCTCCCTGTTTTGTTTGTCAAGTTGGAAATAATTGATATAAGTTCTCTAACTTTGGAGTACTAGAAGACAGAATTAGGTAAAATATAGTAGACTGGATTTATTAACCCCTCGACGTCCACTAGTGGATAATACTGTCATGTGTATGTTTGGTAAATATATAACTTGGGAGTATAGTAGTACACTCTCTAAACCAAAACCTACAAGGCTTGAACATTAATAACATTGACGAACTTACTGATCACATAGTAGTTGAAACCAACTTCTTTGCTAAAACTAAAATGTAGTTATATAGTAGTTCATAGAACACATAAAACTCTTTGAAATCAAAGTGAGGCGCCACATGAAATGAATCATGCATTTCCCTCCCTCCTCACAACAAGCCCGAGTTTGGCAATTCTAGTAAGAGGAATCAACCATTATACGGACAAAATCAAATTGTATAAGTTCTTTCACAGATAAAAATGCAAACTTTCTGATTGGCCGTATTTTATCCCATTGAGTTCAGATAATATCGTTTGTCATATTTTGCAAGTCTTTCTGAAAAAGCCTTACCAACTTCAGTCTCCACATACAGAAACATTATGTAAGTAAATATATTTCTTATTTTCCTTCAAACTAAAAGCTTTTGACACCCAATTGATGAAAAGGCTACACTTCTATTCACAGACAGACAAGAAACAGACGAAATGGTACTGTCATTAGCAATTGTACTTCCCTCTTTAAGAAGTATGATCCAAAGCTGCCTTTAGAAAACTATTTGCAAAGCAAAAATAACAGAAGATAAAGAATTCCCATATACGTTTTTCATACTTCCCGAATGTAAAACCATTTGCATAACTGCTACACCTGATTGAATAAATAGGGTTTCCGACAAAGTTAGGATGCTATTGATTTAGGTCATTCAACATTTCAAGTCTGTGTGAGGATAAATTGATATCTGACCGTGGATCCATTATAGAAGAATCAGAAATACCAATTGAGGGTGGGAGTAATTCTTCATTTACAAACGTAACAACTTTTCCAAACAGTGAGCCAAAGCTAGAACGTTGGGAAACACAATGCTATATTCCACTGCACAATTGTTGCTTTTTATATAATTGTGACGAGAAAGAAAAGAAAAAACCTGGTCAGAGCATCAAGAACAACAACAGCAATTCCTCTATTATCGCTCCTTCCTGTTTTCGGTTGATTATCTCCTTTTGCAGTAATATCATCGTAAAATGCCCTCGCCGTCAACTTCACCAATCTAAATCAATCATAATGGTAAACGAATCAAACCCATTGATGAAAATAGAAATTACAGAAATAAAACAGTCTGTTGAACTCCATATGAAAAGAAGTAAACTAGGGATTTTACTTGTTAAATGGCTCGATACTCATGTTTTAATTATCTGAATAAAAAAATCGAACTAGGGTTTGACGCTTTAACCGTCGAATCTGCAAATTTGTTGATATCAGCAAAGAAATCCAGTTGTGATCTGGTGATTCAGTATCATGGGAGTAACACCAGTGTATCGACCTTGAAAGAATAAATCCTCAAAACCGACCATGAAAATAACTTGTGAGAAGTGATTATGAGGTTTATCCCCCTTTCGATCGGACCAATTGGGCCAAAAATCGACTTGGGTTCCAACTTCCAAGTCTATCCAAAATTTGGAAATGGATCAAGCCTTTTAAAAGTATGAGTAAACTACAATTTCGGTCCCTATGATTTGTAAATTGTGACGGTTTTTCTCCTTATAATTTTGAACCTACAGGTTGACCATGGTAGTTTGCAAACACGCTTGGATTTTTGTCCTTCCCTCATTATGGGCTTTTTGGTGCGTTTGTTACGCAGACAGGACAGGACAGGACAAGATGGGACAGGACAGCTGTTCAGCGTTTGGTAAGACAGGACAGGACATGACATAACTGGTTAAAATGACCAATTTACCCCCGATGAACTATTTAGTGTTTTTTCACAAAATAATCAATATAAATGTTTACAAATACTAATTAAAAATACCAAAAAAAACTCAGATTCCAACTATATTATTTAAATATGCATTTATTGTTAATTCTACCATTTCCTTTCCAAAAGCTGTTCACCAACTATGTGAAAGAAAGAGAACAAACCCACTTGTGTCTCTTTTCAATTATGCTTCATCTCTTTAACTATTTTGATCTGGGTAGATCCGAAACATCAGAGTATTAGAGAAATTGCAGGTTTTTAATGGGGGCATCCGAGTCTGTACCAGTAGCCGACAACGACGATGAAGAAGTTGAAGAAGAAGAAGAAAGGGACAACCATGGCGGCAACGATACAAGAAGGTTACTAGGTGAAGATGATAGTTTAATGAAGAAGGTTGTAGAAGAAGAAGAAAGGGACAACCCTGCCACGCATCGGCGTCGCTGTTATCTCCTCAGCCGTCGTCGTTCGGCACCCCACGGTTGGCTCCGTCCATCGGAGAAGCAGCAGCGGTGGCCATCGGAAGTCGCCATCACCGGTCGTCGGTTGAGTGGTGGAAGCTATGGAGGAGAGGAGTATGAGCCGGTCACATTATGCGTATGAGGTTTTTGAGGGTAAAGTGGTAAAATTTTTCTTGTTTTACTTAGTTTCAGGGGTAAAGGGTGGACTACCTTGTCCCACCCTTGTCCTAGTTAGTTCTAGTTAGTCCAACATAAAACCACACCAAACACAGGACAATTGTGTTCTGTCCTGTCCCGTCCCACCCTGTCCAACGTACCAAACACACCCTTTTTAAGTCTTTGTCTTATTTTCCATTAAAAATTGAAAGTCCTTTTTAAACCATGGCAGCTGACATGTGTCCACCCAAAGTTCCCCCAAACATTCTCGACGAAAAACCACCTCCTTTAATCCCTGGTGACAATGAAAAACTTCTGGTCAGATCCGCTGGTCTAATCTATTCTCTGCTTTTGAGAAGTGAATTTCGACCAGCGAAAGAACTACAGGCTAAGGACCTGTCTTGGTCAGACTTTAGTCATTTCGAGAAGGAGCCATTAGTTTCCCTTCGGGTTCTTAAGAAGAAAAAGAAGATCCGGGTGTTATGAAATCAAGCGGCAGACAGACTCATTTGGTCGGTATTCCTGTTGGGGTTGCCGACACTAAAAACTCGAAATCAAACGAAAAACCCAAGTACAAACCTCAAAATTGGAAATCAAACCCGAATTTGAATAGGGTTTGTTTCAAACCTAATCTAACTCAATAACCCTAACCTAACACCATAAATCAAAACCATGTGCAAATTCAATATCTAATAATATATGAGAGAGAGAGAGAGAGGTAAAAGGTTATCATTTTGGTCGTTGGAGGTGCAAACCCGAAGTGGGTGTAGGGGTTGGTCAACGTAAAGGTGTTGGCCGGCGAGTTGATCGTTCCTGTATGTGGTGAGGATGTAACATCGACGAAAGGAGGTTGTGATGAGGAGGAAGGAGATCGAGCAGGTGTAAGGAGGCTGCAATGTGAAGTTGCCGAAGGAGGAGTCACCAGATAAGTGTCGCTTGGAAGGGAGAACGAGGAAGTGATCTAGGCTCTTTAGGCTTATAGGCTTATAAATATATTATGTGTATATATGAAATATTGAAATGTACACACGTCTTTTTTTTACAAAGAAAAATGATAGCATTATGACAAAAGTCTAATGTATCTCATTTGACAAACTTATTTGATGGTTGTTAGAAAGAGATCGAATTTCGAGAATTTTTGCAAACCATAATGGACTAATGGTCAATTAGTAGTTTCGAGACCATAGGAACGAAAACTGATACAATCGACAAACCATAAGGACCAAAATTGTAGTTTACTATAAAACTAATTTACAACGTATTCAAAACGTTGGTCATAATTTTGGTGCCTCTCATTGCATGCCATAACATAGTACGTCTAGCTCTTGTTATTGCATATTTTGTTCTACTTTATACATTTAATTACATTTCAGCATCTTGGTTTTTCAACTTCAGTTTTGGTTCAAACGATGCGGAAACATGGGTATGCGATATATGGGTTTGCTTTACAGGGATATTGTTTCTCGACTTGCATAGTGGTGGTTTGATGTTTGAATTTCTTTGGCAAAACAATGGTGGAGAGAGGGTGGTGTTGCACTAGTTGTGTAATTGGGTAGAGTTCATGTTTAGATTAGAGTTTTCATGGATAAGGCGACATGTTAGACATGGACCGCCTGTCCATCTAAAAAAGCAGAATTAGACAATCATTCTCGAAAATATAGGCGAATCTGAGTTGATCTATTAAGATTATATCAAGTCCCCCTTGTTTTGAGTAGAGGTGGCAAAAAATAGGTCTCGATCCCAATCTTGCTTTCCATAACAGGTCCCGATGTAACCGATCCTGGTCCCCACCAAAATACAAAGGCCGGGTCTCTATGGTTTTTAACCAGTCCCTATAACCGGTCCCAATTATTATCATCTTTTAAATCGATTTTTAACATATAAAAATTATTATTTGAAGATTTTTTTAAGATTATAAAAAATGTTATTCTAATATACTTTAAATTATGTAATTGGGTCAATCAAATACATTTTATTATAATTTTGTATTAAAATCATTTCACATCCGGTATACATTTGGTCTTCAATCAGATACATTTAAAAATACATCAATTTAATCCTACAAAATTGTTCCTTCAACTTGAAATATAGCAAGAGCCTCAACATCATCAAGGTCATCATCATCGGCAAATTGTGAGTAAGTGCAGTCGGTATCGGTAGTTGGCAACATTGTTAGATTTAGGGCGTATTTGTTTTCTTCCAAGTTTTCTTCTACATCTTCAAGCTCCATCTCTAGTGATGTCGTGTGTTGAGTTCTTTTATTGTTATCCAAATAATCCTTCAACCATACACAACACTCCATGGACTTTAGGCTTAATCTTGTTACTGATTTGAATTACCCACCAACAATTTATCCAGCAAGTTTTATAATGGTTTGTGACGAATCACCCTTTAGCGATGGATTTCCCAGGAAAAAAATCGTAGGTAAAAGTGTTCCATTTAGTAGTGCATGTAAAAGAAAAGGAAATCTCTATAAAATACCTTAACACTTTCTCTTTCATTGAAGCACTCATCGTTCCCCAATCACGACTGTGTTCATATTGTTGTATCTTACTTGCCAAAATAAATATTTGATCTAGAAGTAAATGACTTGTTGGATAATAAAAATCGGATAAAAGAGTTGCCAGGTCAGCTTGGAATCTGTTTTTCGGGTAATATTGCTTTTGTGAAAAATGCTTCAAAAATTTGAATTTGAAATTTTAAACCCGGTTTTGATAACAATTTCAGAATTAAATTCAGACTTACAACTCTGAATTTTTCCAAAGTTATGTTGTAAGTCTGGAGGCCACTTCAAAGTTAAATTTAGACTTAAAACTCTGATTTTTCTCAGACTTTGATACTTGTATGTCTTACAAGTCTGGAAGACAACTCTAAATTTTAACTGAGTAAAAGGAGTTCAGACTTGTCCTCAGACTTTTATACTGGTATGCCTTATAAGTCTGGCAGACAAATCTGAATTTTGATCGAGGGAAAGGAGTTCAAACTTCTAAATTTGGAAAAGAAGCCTCCAGATTTAGAAACTATAGAAAACATATCAAAGATTTCTACTTAGTATGGGAAATCAGTTAAACCACGAAAAAAGGAAAATAAACGTGTAGAGGGACACATGTCATTTAAATAGACTTATCTGAACCGTAAGTGAAAATTGTGTCTAGATACATGTTTAGACGGGAAAAATCAATAACCGTCGCACATAAACATGACACGTGTCCCCAAAGTTACTTATTTATTAGGGGTGTGTGTGTATGTATATATAAATATAGGGACTGGTTCAAATGCTAACCAAGATTATCGTGTTAACTTTGTTAACCGATCTTGGCCATTAATTTGAATAATAAACGGTTGTGATTTAATGATATTTAAAAATTAATTATTAAATTAATATTTTCAATTAACATATGTGAACAAAATATCAAAGGGTATTTAGGTAAAAAGTAATATATATTTGATACACGAGTTGTCAGACATATAAATAACTTGTGTATATCCTCAAAACACATCAAACAAAAAAAAGATTAGACATATGAACAATATGTGAACCATATGAACATCTTTTGTATATTCAGAAGCCAACTATGTTGTATGTACATGAACACCTACAAAGCTTATGTTCACATGAATCACATATACTGTTTCATATTCATGTGATGCGATTGTGCATATTTATCGATATGAACATCTATTGCCTTTGATATGTGTTCTTTTAAACGAATTCAAATGTCATACTAATCACTTACCAATAGGAACGCTTTGATCATTTTCTTCATTATCGGAATTCGAAGTGCAAATGTAGTCGTAGACGATTTTGTCATTTCCTTTGTTGTCAATCTGTTTTATAATAGTATTATCCATATTACTCGGACGATACGGAAATCTTTTACACTTACGAAAACAATATCATTATATGTAGAACATCATTTGTAAACTATGATCATGAACACGTATGAAAATAAAATTCAGTATTACATCATGATCAATTAGTGAGATCTTCAAGATTTGTAACTCCCAATTAATTATTAGGGAGTTACATAAATACCAAATTACCTAATTACCCTTGTATTTAATATATGAGTTCCATTTGAACATAAATAAAAGATGGAATATGATTGGTTAAGCTTGGTTAGTATAGTTAACACAAATTTCTTGGTTAGTATTTAAATCAAGCTCTCTCTCTCTCTCTCTCTCTATATATATATATATATATATATATATATATATATAGAGAGAGAGAGAGAGAGGAGTGATCAAATGCAAATCACCCAATTTGTAAAAACCGTACAAACCATCCTCATCCATTGATTTCATTGTTTCATCTTATAAATTTTTTTCATGAAATTGTTTAATCTTGTGAAATTGTTTCACATAATACTTTTTTTGATGAAGTTGTTTCATATATAGTAATGAAACTGTTTCATATAATACTTAATGAAACTGTTTCATGTATTTCTCTAAATTTAAAATAATGAAAATGATAATATTCATGATTAACACCCTCCACAATAAAAATGATTAATCAACCTCTCATAATTACAAAAAAATGAACAAAATAAAATATTATGATTGATTGAATGAGGTTTGCACAGTTTGTACAAATTAGGTGGTTTGCATTTGATCGTTCATATATAGGGTTGAGTTCACGTAAGACCAAGAGTTTTTCGTGAGACCCGTAAGACCAATTTATGTTAATTGATCAAATTTATGAATTAATGATCTAATGGTTGCAAAGTGGCAAGGTGGCAATTTCGTAATTAGTGAGAAGTCTCATGGCGTTTATAAATGTTCAGATCTGACGATTGTAAATCTAATCCAAGGGTTGAGAATTGGTCTTACGGGTCTCACGAAAAACCATTGATCTCACATGATTCCAAGTCTATATAATATATATATATATATATATATAGGGATGTTATTCTACACCTTTTGTCATTCCTACACCCTATACAACCCTCATCTCAACCATTCAATTTTTAATCAATTAATTGTTTCCTAATATAAAGTATTAATCATAATTAATAAACTCTATTCATATTCCATAAATATTCAAATCATAATAAATGAACTCCAATCATTTCTATAAATATCTCAATTAATTGGGTTGCAAAGGTTGTACAAATGCACAAAGTTGTAAAAGAAATATTATATATATGTTATATTTCTTTTACAACCTTGTGCATTTRTACAACCTTTGCAACCCAATTAATTGAGATATTTATAGAAATGATTGGAGTTCATTTATTATGATTTGAATATTTATGGAATATGAATAGAGTTTATTAATTATGATTAATACTTTATATTAGGAAACAATTAATTGATTAAAAATTGAATGGTTGAGATGAGGGTTGTATAGGGTATATATATATATCCGTTCTTGCAAGACAACTCCCACAAAAATTGTTGCTTGTATGAAAGGTAAGTTACTGTGTTTGAGGATTTACATGTAAATGTATAAAATGTATATACACTTAACAGCTAGATGAAGATATTGACAACAGAAACTAAACGACTACGATTTCATGGTTTAATATATAATTAATATATGGATGTCGGCCCACTTGTACCAAAGAGCAATATCGATTATTTTGGGACACGATGCATTGATATTTTGAGCATTATATCCCTCCTTGCTTTGTTACATGAGTTTTTTTTTCCTTATTCTTGTTTATACCCAAACGAACTAGATGATTTAGTTCACCCTTTTCAACTGCTAAGCTTCATTTTTTTAAGTTTATGACTTGGTTTATTTTTTTTATTATCTCATTAAGATCTTGATAATTTTTATTTATTTATCAGTATGGATATGGCTAAAACCTAATATTGTCATGTACACGTGTAATTACTTTGAAAATTTTCATTTATGAATCAATAGCCTTAAAATGAGTTGTCTTCAAGCTCAAGAGCCATAATCAATACAATAATAAAAGCACTTATCGATGAAACACAAACGCCTAACAAGTATTTTTTTTATGAACAAATTGGTTGCATCAATCGAACCTTATTTTTCTTCCATTGCAATTTAGCAAGAGTATTGTGTTCCTCAACTCTAAGCTAAATAGATGTTCAACTCACCATCACAAACCATGATCCCTGATGCAACTGATCAAGAACCTTAGATCGGTTGAAATTTGGATTTGGTTTCATGGTTTGAATTTATGAATCAATTAATATAACAAATGTTCATTTACTTTTTATTTCGTAACTGTATTACCTGATAAACAAAATTTACCTACGTGGCTTCGGTTATTTACTAATTAAACAAATAGATAATAATTAGATTATGGTATTTGCAAACTATTGTTGTATCATTAGAGGAGTTGAATCAAAAAGGAGACAAAATAAACCTCGATATTTTGGATCAGAAAGCAAAATAATATTTTTAAGGTCCAAATTTGTACATTAGTCAATAGTTGAAGGATGAAATGTTGAGTTTAGTTTTGTGGATATAAAGAATGAATAGACTAGAGGCAGTCAGGCAGATGACCATTGAAAGTCCAATCAAACCAAATTTTCTATAAAAATGGTGATCAGCAAGCTTTTTGTAAGATATGGTAGAAGGCAGCTTCACACAATCGTCTCCAGAGATGTCGTCAAACCCTCTTCTCCAACCCCTTCTCACCG